CGATCCTGCGGTTGCAAGTCTGGCCAAAGGGGTGGTGGCAGCAGCAGTCACAGGTCTCTTGTCGACTGCACTTCTCAAGCACTGAACCAACACAGGTAGCACAGGAGGGTTCATTTTTTAAAACAGTGGAAGATCAATATCAGCACCCCACCCCCAGGTTCAGGAAATGAGACCCACAGATAAAGCTGAAGATCATGGCAGGTTGCCATGGTAATATGCATTTAGTCTCTGTTTCCATGGCAACTGAAAGATATACCATTCTGTTCCTCTGAAGGATGCCAAAGGTAAATGAGCACTGATTAAAAACAAGGGCAGAAAGACCGAGGCCAGAAACTCTATCACTCCAGAAGGAAATATTAAAAACAAACAAAAACCCCAGATAATTCATGTGTGTGAAGGCCTGAGGCTGGAGGCACTGCACACAGATTGCCTCCCTTGACTGAGGAATAACAGCATCACATACTGATCCAGAAGGCTGTTGTGCCTACTCCCAGATGGGCTTGGGGAAGCTACCTTAACATAGCACTTGCCTCCATGGCTGCACATCTCCCACTGGGATACTCACACCAGCTGTGAACCATTTCTAATAGACTTCATTTACATCTACGATCCCAAACCAAATGCAAACCTGAGCTGAAGTCTATCATCTGCTCAGACATGATCTCCAAACAGAGCTCCACACCACTCCCTTATCCTCAACTTGTTACAAACCCGGACTTGGTCTAATCCTAATCCCAAACACCAACCAAAGTAGATGCCTCCACTTCAGGCCAAAACTCAATCCTACATCTGATACTACATCCAGTGACTCAGGCCCAGATTTAGGCACCTAACTCCCATTAACTTCAATAGGATTTAGGCACCTAAATACCTTGGACTGAGACCCAGGTCCTCAAATCAAACTAGACTCCCCTTTTTGTATTAGCATGTTTTGTGTGAGGAAAAAACAGAGGGAGACTTAGGTCAAATAAAGGAGTTTTCCATTTAGCGCTAAAGAGGTTAGGTCCATGGTCACTTACTTCCTGCAGAGATGAGTTCCACAGTCTGCTCCTATGAAAGTTCTGACTTCTGGACTCATGAGTCTCCACCTGTTGGCTGACAGTTACATTGATCCAGTGTAATGGGAGTTTATGGTTGCAGATAGCTACTTGAGAGATCTGCTCTAAGGCCAATTTCACAGACTGAGTGGAATATCAGGACACAGGACCTTATATTGACATTGTACATAAAAAACAGCAAGAGAAGAGAGCAGAGCATTGGACAGATGTGTTCACATAACCTGTGTTGACACACAGACTGGCTGCTCTGTTTTGCCAATTGAGCCTTCTCAGAGTGCATGGCTTTATTCCTAGATATGCCTGAAGATCAAGAATGCATGGCTCACTATGGCCAGGTCTGCGTCTTCTGGCCACTCACTGATAAAAGTGAGCATCTTTTGCCACTATGGCTGTTTTGGAGTCATTGCTACTACTGGACTCTCAACACACCACAAGGCTGACTTCATCTGAAAGCGGATGCTCTTGATAGTGGGTGATGTGATACAGGAGGCAAGTTCACTGAAGCATTCCCCTCTTACCAGCATCACTGCAGTTTTGCTTGGGCTCAGGTTTAGCCAGCTTCATCCAGCTGTTGGTTTCAGGAAGTGAGAGAGAGAGCTGGGAGATGGTGCTGCTTGCGTTTGATGGAAAGGTGAGGGTGAGAGAGAGAGAGAGCGCACGCGACCTGGTATTGTCTGCATCCTGCTGGCACTTCGGCCCACCCTATCTCAGCAGCTGTCCAAAGGCTGCATGTAGGACTGGAGAGGACTGAGCCTTGTAGGACTCCATGGTAAAGGCTTTGGAAGCGGAGGGATGATTGCTAATAATGACTCTCTGGGTTGGATCTCAGAGGAAGGACCTGAGCCATTTCAGGGCATGTCCATTCACCACTGCCGCTCCTTGGAAGTGGGAGAGGAGTACTTGGCGATCAGTGGCATCAAACATTGCAGAGATGTCCAGCAGGATGGTGTGATGCACTTCCCTCATCTATGGGAAGGGAAAATGCTTTCACCAGAGCAACAAATGTCATCTCTGTACCATTCTCTGACCTGAGCCCTGACAGAGAGATCTAGCATAGTGGCAGTGACACGTGGCACTGGATTGATGGTCTTAAACAGAATAATAGCAGAGACACAGGCATAGGATTAATCTACCATGTCCATTAAATTTGCCCTTTCTTTAAATTTTATCTCAGCTTGGCTTCCATAATTACCGTTTTTTGGTTCTCCTGCCTCTCTGGTCATTCCTTCTTTGTCTCTTGAGGGAGTGGATGGAGTAAGGTGTTCCTCCTAGGTGTGTGAGGCAAATAAACATGTTCTTCCTCCAATCACTCATTCTCCATGAGCCCCCATGCAGGTCTGTCCTGGTCCCTCTTTTCCCTCTATACCCTTTCATTAGGTGATCTTAGCTCAGTGCTTCATTCATCATCTTTATGCCAATGACTCCGATCTGCTTTCCCATTCCTGACCGGTCTCACTCCATCCAACCTTCTCCTGGATATATTATGTTAACAAATGCAACATGGACAAAACTGAACTCCTGAACTAGCCTTTCCACTCTCACCATTCTCCATAATGGTGAACTGAATCATCTGACCTGTCCCCTGGGCCTGCAGCCCGGGTGTCACCTTTGCCCCAAAAATTCAGACAGTGTCCAAACCTTGCCACTTCTTGCTCCAGAGGCTCTAAGACCAAGCCTTTTCTGTCTATACACCCAAGACTCACCCAGTCCATCCTCATCTCATTTCCATTAATGCAACTTCCTCCTATCTGGCTTTCCAGACACCCATATCATCCATTTCCTGTCCATTCAAACAACAGTTGCTAGGAACATTTTCCTGGCCTGTCCTCATTGTGTCACCCTCAATCTTTAAAACCCCGTCACCAGCTCCCCATTTTTCACCAGATGGAGTTAAAACTTGATGCCATAACCTTGAAGGCACTTCACAACTCTCTCTCTCCCTTCCTACTTATCCACTTACACACTCAACCCTGCTCTTTCCACTATGCCACTGGTGCTCACTTCAGACCCCATCCCCTTCTCCAAGCAGCATTTGTACATTTTCTTCCACACCCCCACCACTCACCACCAATGCCACCTCACTCTCTATCCTGGTCCTTCCTCAGATTGTGGCACCCAGCCCCTAACAGCTACAGTTTCATTCAGGCGTTCTGACTGTAAGACCTGGCATACACATCTAAGACTCCAAAGTGCTTAGCATACTACCTTCATAATATTATATGAATCAGTGTCATAACGGGTTCTTATTCTAATACAATACTTTAAACTAACCAGTGTACCACCCAATGACTGCTCACGTACCACAGTTTGAGAACCGCCAGTTTAGTTATTTAGGCGATGGGCTCCATGGAAGTTCATTGGCCTGATATTTAGAGTGCTGGAGTCAATGGGAGCTGCAGGTCCTCAGCACTTCAGAAAGTCAGGCCCCAAGTGCCCAACTTTCCTCTCTTCTCCTCTTTCCTCCTCTCCATAAGATCAAGAGCTGGGAAGTTCTTAAAGTGCGCTCTTTAAAAGCACTAATGCATTAGACCAAGTCAAATCTCTGGTGCGTTTAGTCTTCTTTGCAGAAGGACGACGATTCCGGAGGGGACCGGATTCTCCATTTCCATATGGCCTTTTTGCAACAAACCGTTGGTGCAAAGCCAACAGATTTGGCCAGCATGGGGAATTTCTCTTTGGTGGGTTAAAGCTATGGTAAAAGCTCTATGTCACTCCCCCTTGCAGCTTCCAGCACAGACTGTGGCTGAATCATCTCTGAACTCCAGAACAGCTTCGATGCGCCACAGACAACCAGACTGTTCTAACTTACACTGGGAGCTGAACTGGTCCCCAGCCATCCCTGGAACTGGGAAGCTGCAAAGCCACTTTTGCCCCTTTCCTAGGACCTTAGACAAGTACAGCTCAGCCAGAACCAAAATTCAAGCCCAAAGTCTCTGTATGCTGTTGCTCAACAATACTACTCCCAAAGAGTAAGGGTGCCATCTAGCGAAGTTACTGAGATATTGCCAACATTACAGGTGGAGAAAGCTGCATATGTGGGTTTTCCCCAGGATTGTGCAGAAGTGACTACAGGTGGTACTTAAAGTGTTCTTTAAGTTGCTCAAGAGGCAGTTTCTGCAACGGGGAAAAGGAGTCTGCATATAGGGAGTGTTTCCTTAAGCGACAGCACTGAACAGAAAATGAGCAAAGACACAGATTGTGAGGAGGAGTGGAACAGAACAGGTACATTCAGTTTAAATTCCATACAACAAACTTATTGACAGAATGTTAAAGTTGTATGGTTACAGGAACAACTTAAAATCAAATCCATTTAGAAAAAAGGTTAAGTAATGTCAGGCTCTACACTGTCTCAGAGCCCCCTGCCATTTTTGTCATCTTACAATCACTCATACCTATTTTTCCGTATAGGTTAAATGAGGCACAGAAAGGGAATTACCCAAGTTCAAATAGTACTAGAACCTGTTTCTTGGATCAGAGAACAATGCCTTCCCAGCCACCTCTGTGGCTTAGTTACCCTATCTAAAAATCAGGGTTAATAATGCTCGGCATCTACACAAGGCTTTAGAGCTCACACTTTAAGTGCATAAGATTAGAAACACTTTGTCTGAGAGGCACTATGGTTTGGTAGTTAAAACATGGGTCTAGCACAGAGATAAACATGCTCTTCCCAGCTATGTTGCAAGCTTAACCACGGGAGTTTAGGCAAGTCTGTTCTCTGTGCCTTCAGTGACCCCATCTACAAAATGTTAGCCCGACACTAAGGAAGGGCAAATAAGAGACATAACGAAACAAGGCTTGTCAATTTCAGAAAATGATTAAAGCCAGTCAGGGAAGAGGTAGGAGCAGAACTCAGGACCTCCTGACTCCCAACCTTCTACACGTTCCCCTAAGCCAAAGTAGCAGCAGATCCAGATTCAAAATATTTGGGGTGGGGTGGGGTGGGGGGGGAAAATCACAGCTGGTTAGGAGCAACCACAACAGAGATCAGTACACAAGTAACTCAGCAGTGCACACACGCCCAAACCCTTTTTAGATAAGCATTTAACACGCTTAATAAAAAAAAAACCTACTGCTTGGTATTCAATTTTCAAAGGATTAAAATCTGCCCAAATCGCAAGCTGATTCCTTGGGATGCTCCCCATTCCATGAGAAACTGACACTTTTAAATCCCATGATTTGGCTGTGAGACCATTAAAGTAGGTTTGTTTGTAATAATGGGAAAAGCACACAAGTTCCCTATCCCTCCTGTCACCTGAAAATAGATGAACCATTTTGGCTCAAATTTACCAAACATTCACCTTCAGGCAGAGACTAAGCATGGAAAACTTCAGCTAAGAGGCGGGAGTTCCACAAAGTGATGAGTAATTGAAAATGAAATTGCATTGGAAATTCCTAGGCCACCCTTCCTACAGCACAGTTGTGTCTGGGCACTGCCCTACAAAGGGAATGAGAGATTTGTTTCTCTCCTAAAAACAGAAACAAGGCTGAAGAGAGATTAGATTATGAAGCAAAATTAGGAAAATACTTTAGATTATTAAATCAAACTGATGTGCAGGACAGGGTACAAGGTCTCCTAGATGTGACCACAGGTTCTCCAACCACCATGCAACTTATACCCTGCCGGCAAAAGTAGAGAGAGTTTGAAAAGCCATTTGCTGATTCGTACCATTTTTTAAATTGAGTCAGGAGGGAAACAAACCAAATTGCCTTTTTTTTTTTTTAAGCCCCAACCCTAACCCTAAAGCTTTAGTCTTCCCCCCTACACCCACCTCTCTGCTTCACCTATATGTACCAGGTAGAGCAGTCTTCCCTCAGCTGCTGGCTGCTCCCTATAGGCAGGTAGGTCGTCAAGAATAAGGAGATTAGTAGAACAAATTGTCTGGGAAGACCCACAGCCAGCTGGAAAGGGCAGGCACCTCATGAGTCCCACAGTCAGTTTAAGGGCAAGGGGGAAACAGCCATCTCCCTAGAGATGCATTCTAACCACACTTTGAAAAGCATGAAAAATATGAATAAACAATGGAAATTGAGTTTGTTTGTTTTTTAAAAACCAACAATGTCAAATACAGGCAGCTCCTGGAAGGCAGTTCCATGTGCTGGGTGGTTCAGGGAGATCAGGGTGGCTCATTATATTCAGCAGTTCCTGGAGCTTCATAGAGGACAGAAGATGCTTTTGTGTGGGATTTAAAGCCTATTTCAATAGGAGGGAGAGCCCTATAGGTCTTGGCTGCAGACTCAGTTCAGACAGGCAAATGGGGATATTTGCAGTAACTGTAGCAGATTGAGGAGGAGGATTGGGGAAGCTGAGGAAATAGCAAAATGAGAAACCCTTGGAGACGATGCTGAGGACTGTCTCTGGCTCAATGTCCACCCAAGCAACACCCAAGGAGGAGTCCACTCAGAGTCTGACAGAGAAGGATGTTCCACACGAGCAGCCCTGCTCGGCCTGTGGATTGCTCACCACCTGGAATGAGTTGCGGATCAGCTCCTGGCTGAAATCCACCATTGCACCTTTCACAAAGGCCAGGCTGTCCACATCCACAACAACACGAGCACCACCTTGTTCAAACACCCTAGGAAAGAAGGATATGTGGCTTGTTATAACCCTGCAGACATAAAAGGGAAAAGCACACTTCCAGAGTATAAATGAATACACTGTGATCACTTCCCTCCCCTTACTGTGCTGTGATCACCCACCTCCTCCCTTCAACATACATTATCAAACACACCCTTCTCAACACCTTAGTCCACAGAAGTCTCCCCCCATCATACACCCACACCCCTTTATCCTCTGTCCTTGCCTGTCATCAGGATTGATAACTGTGTCCAAGGAAAACTTGTACTGGAATCCAGAGCAGCCACCTCCCTCCACCTGCAGCCTGAGAAACTCAGACCCTTCTATAATCTCCTGCAGCCTCTGCAAAGCAGAAAGGGAGGAGCATTAAAAGATCTGCAATATTCACATGCAAGCAGACAGCATCTACTTCCAATCCCATATCAAGCCTGCAAGATGCCTCAACGGGATAAGGGCCAGAATCAGAGCAATATGGAAGGGGCACCTCTATGACCTTGGGGAGGTAACTCATAAGCAGCCAGGTCTGCAGCATACCCCTGTCCACCACAGCCACGTGTGGGGAAGACCTCATGCAGCTCATCTGAGAGATGAGGGGGAAATCACTGATTTCCCAAGACTCAGCTATCATGAAGTCTGCAGTTGCCTCAAAGGGGTGTCTGAAAGGGGAGGGGGGGTCATCAGTGAACCTCACGGATTATTATAAAATCCTTTGGGAACCTTTAGGTCAAGTAGCTACAAGTAGCATGATGTTACAGGCACTTCAATAGTAGGGAATGCCAGGCACTGCAACAACCTTCTTAATGACACGCAGACACAACAACACACCATGAGTGCTTTCTAGAGAATTGTACCTTCACACAGCTGTTGGTGAGGTAGATCTGTCCCTCGCTAGAGTCAGATACTGGTTGCCCTGGCTTAGAAGAGGATGATGCCCACTGCACCCTGATGCTTGGTACATAGGCTCCATTCTGAGAAGAACAGGGTGGTGTTCTCACTAGGCGCAGCAAAGTAGGAGAAAGGCTGCTGTGAAAAGATGGGGATGGAAATAGTCAGCAAGGCAGGTGAAAAGCACAAAGGTTACTAGAGCAGAGCTCCAGAAAGGAGATTTTAGGAAAGTAGGTGTGTGGGGGGAATTCTCAGTGAAAGGGTAGAAACAACCTAAGATGGATGGGGAGTGGCACGGAAGAGGAGAAAAGCCTAATCTACACTACTTCAATATACATATAGCTAGTGACAGCACAGAGAGATTATAGAATCAGGCTGGTTCACAGCAATGATCAGATTAGTCTGGTATCGGGAATATGACAGCAGCCACTACCAGATGCTTTGGAGGCAGGAGCAATGAACACCCCAGCCCACTGTGCTGGGCGACCTTGCGCTCAGAGGGAGTCGCTGGGGAGATGGCTTGTGCCCTGAACCAGGAGTGTCCGTGTCCATCACCTGTCTGACACCCTGTCTATTACAGGTACCTCAGCTACAGGCGAGAATATTTTGCTACCTGCTGCCAACTCTTGGCCCGGCACCGGGCACTAGCGAGTCCCTGGAGCACCTGCACATTATTCTAAAGCGGTTTCCTCTGGCAGGGTCACACTGCGCGGCGGAGCTAACCGCGCCCTCGGCCCGAGGTGGTCCGTGCCCTCTCCAGGGGCACCACCCCCCGGGGAACGGCCGGGTCAGGCGCCGCAGCGGGGCTTGGCGCAGCCGCACGCTCGCTGCACGGCAGGGGCTGGGTGCTCGGGGCGAGGCTCCAGGAGAGGGAGCTGCAGGCGCTCAACAGGCGGGCGGCGCCCCCCACACGCGCCAGGGACGGAGCGGGGACCCCGGGCTACTGTCCAGGCTCCACCCGAGCCCGGCGAAAGGGCCGCAGCGCTACCTCCACCGACCGCCAGGACGCAACCTCCTCAGACAGCTCAGCAACACCCCCAGCGCCGCCATCTTGCACCAGTGGCTCTTAGAGTGCCCCGCCCACTTGCCACGCCGCTATTGGCGCAGAACCCGTGGAGCCCCGCCTCTTCCTGCGGCCAGGTGACGTAAGGCCTGCCATGACAGCTACCGAGGCGGAAGTGCCAGGGAGGAGGTGCGCGGGCGCGTGCGTGGTAGCAAAGCGGTTTAGGAACCTAGCGTCTTGAGTTTGGTTGCTAAGCAACAGACTGGCTGATGGGGTTGGCTCACCCTGGCCAGAGCCTCCCCGGCTCCAGTTTCCCACTTTGCCTGGCTCTCTGGGGTCCGCTGACCCCCAAACAACTAGGGTTGCCACCTTTCTAATTACACAAAACCCAACACCTTAGCTCCGCCCCTTCCCTGAGGCCCCCCCTTGCGCCGAGGCCCCCCACTGCTCACTACATTCCCCCTCCCTCACTTATTTTCACTGGGCTGGGGCAGGAGGTTGGGTTGCAGAAAAGTAGCTTGCGGGCTGTGGGATGGAGCCAGAAATGAGGGGTTCAGGGTGTGGGAGGGGGCTCCGGACTGGGACAGAGGGTTGGGGTGCAGGAGGGGTGAGTGCTCCATCTGGGGGTGTGGGCTCTGGGGTGGGGCTGGGGATGAGGGGTTTGGGGTGCAGGAGGACGCTCCAGGCTGGGGGGGGCAGAGGGGTTCAGGCTGTGGGAGAGGGAACTGGGCTGGGGCAGGGAGTTGGGGGGGGCAAGGGCTCTGTCTGGGGGTACAGGCTCTGGGGTGGGGCTGGGGATGAGGGGTTTAGGGTGCAGTAAGAGGCTCCTGGTTTGGGGGGGGCTCAGGGTTGGGGTTGGGGGACAGGCTTACTTTGGGCGGCTCCCAGTCAGCAGCGCAGCGGGGGGGCTAAGGAAAGCTTCCTGCCTGTCCCGACTCTGCGCTGCGCCTGGAAGCAGACAGCAGGTCCAGCTCCTAGGCAGAGGCATGGCAGACAGCTCTGCGCGCTGCTCTCGCCCTGAGGCACCACCCCGTAGCTCCCACGGCTAATGGGAATGCAGAGCCAGTGCTTGGGGCAGGAGCAGCACGCGGAGCCCCGAGGCCCCCCTGCCTAGGAGCCGGACCTTCTGGCTGTTTCTGGGGTGCAGCGCAGAGCCAGGATAGAGAGGGACTAGCTTGCCTTAGCTCCGGTCGGCAGTGCTGACTGGAGCTGCCAGGATCCCTTTTCGACCGGGTGTTCTGGTCAAAAACCGGAACCTGGTCACGCTACAAGCAACAGCCCCAGAACCAACATCGCGGCCGGGGCAGCCCTGGTCATTGGCTGGGCTCTGAGGGAAAGTCACTGACCCCTTCCCCCAGTGTAGGGCCCTTGACTCTGATCGTACCCCCTTCCCCACCGAGTCCTGCGGCTGGTCAGGACCATTTGGCCCTTCCTGTCTTCCTTCTCCTGCGCATGGCGCTGGCCTGGGCCCTGTCTCAGAGACGCATCCCCCCCTCGTTAAATCCTCTGTCCTGTTTGTCCAGGTGCTGCTTCAGTGGCGGAGTTCCTGGGCCTGGCCTGCAGAGTCATCGGAGGCCATGGCCCTTCTGGTGGGAAGCGCGCTGTGCCAGCAGGGGAGTCAGCCAGTACTGATGGCCCTTGAACCGCTTTCATTGTCAACCCTCTCCCAGGTGTCCCGCCCCGGCACCCATAGGACAGCGGCCACAACACAGCACTGCACAGACTGGGTGTTTTAATCCAACACGAGGGTTAAGATCCAAAGTGAGGGTCACAAACCAAAATGGAGCTCACAATTGGACGCAGCCAATCCCCAATCTCACACACACAGGCCTATTCCCCTCCCACTGATTTAAAAGGAGCTAATCACATGCATGAAGTTGAGCACATGGATAACTAATTGCAAGATGGAGGCCTACAGTTGCCTAATGCTGTGTTGTGCTCTACAAGGGTTGTTCCAGTTGGCCAAGCAGTGAACCTGGCTCCTAGGATGAGAGAGGGCCTTTAGGAGAAACAGTAACATCTGCTCTTGGTTTATTTATACCATCTCAAACCTGGTGATATAGACCTGTCTATGCAATTTACCTTTTTTTGTCCTTGGATTAACTATAATAATTACTATGGAATTAATAAAGTATCACATACAAGCTCACAGGAAATCAGGATGCTAATCTAGTTATTTGCAGCATATTTATGAATCCCCAAATGAGGGATAATGTAAATCTTAATTAAATAAAAGTGTTTGTTTTTACTTCTGTTGCTATTATTTAATCAACATCTCTAAAGGCAGACTCTTGGAGGAGTAGCACCAACGTTTTCTTTTCCCTGGGGGTGCTGCACCCCTGCTCCACCCAGAGACCCTACCCCTACTCCACCCCTTCCCCCAAGGTCCCACCTACACTTCGCCTCTTCCTGCCCCCGCCCACCACTTTCCACCCTCCCCCAAGCCGCTCTCCAAGTTGCCCAACAGCTGTTTGACAGCACTCTCAATTAGCTGATTATGGTGCTGCCAAACAGCTGATCAGGGGTGTTACAGAACAGCTGTGGCTGGTGGGTACTGAGCATCCATTATTTCCCCCCCCCCCCCCCCATGGGTGCTCCAGCCTCAGAGTTGGTACCTATGAGCAGATTGATTGCTTCTGTGGACTGCAGCCAGAGATGGGGTTGGGAATCCTGTCTTCCCTTTAACTACTGCACCACTTTCAGTTCTGTCTTGCTGACAGTGTGTATTGGATTGACCTCTGTGTACTGGATTACACTGCTGCATGATAGCATGTCACATACGTAGGTATTTGGCAAACTTCATTTCTGCAGGACAACTTGCAGGATTGGGGCCTGATTGCTGATATAGAAGAAACTGTGAAACTGACTCACAGAGGGAGTAAAAAACAGGAAAAAAATCCAATCTCTTTTAGTGTTGGTGTTTTTAGTAACAGTAGTGGTAAAAAATGTGACAACGTGACTTCTCTTTCTAGATGTTGCCCAGATTGTAGATCCCCTTGCAAACAGAGGATAAGGCCTAGAGAGAAATAAGGGTGAGCCAGCTGGGCTCATTTTCAACTAATTTCATTAATACTTTATTAGCAAGACAAGCTAGACAGATGTCATTTGAGTGTGAACATAGTACTAGCATAGATTCCAGCACATGTTGGCATGCCTGGCAGTGAAATGGTAGAGAAGGAAGCAAAAAATGCTTTAAAAATGCAGCAATTGCTATAAAGATCCTTTGAGTAAGAAGGAATTTGAAAATTTAGTTAAAACGGATTTTAAAAGGCATGCCAAGAATTGTGGCCCAAGGAGAAAAGAGGAAGATGATTCTATGACATATACCCCAAAATAGAGGATAATGTGCTACTGTACTCCAAAGGTATGTAAGGTGAAGTACTCAAAGTTAGTACATTAACTGATCACTGTGGTTTGAATAATAATAATTTATATTTATTGAATAGACATAAAGATGGGTTATGTAACATATGTAAGATTAAATAAACAGTTGATCACCTGATATGGGACTGCAGGCAGCATTCCCCAGGAAAGAAAGCCTCTTTATGAAAAATGTATATGTTTTCAAGAGACAGAATATACTGTGAGGGTTTAGTGAGAACCTCAGGAAAGTAGAAAGCAACAGAGAGTCTCAAAGGTGCCACAGGACCAACAGAAGTATTGGGAGCATAAGCTTTCGTGGGTAAGAACCTCACTTCTTGCATCTGAAGAAGTGAGGTTCTTACCCACGAAAGCTTATGCTCCCAATACTTCTGTTAGTCTCAAAGATGCTACAGGACCCTCTGTTGCTTTTTACAGATTCAGACTAACATGGCTACCCCTCTGATTCAGGAAAGTAGGGTAATATTAAAAAATCTCTATTGTGTTTTTTAAGGATATTGAGCTGCATAAGAGAGTGTAGTAGCATGAATGTACAAGGAATATAGGAAGTGGCAGTTATAGACTCAGTAGGTAAGTGTACTTCACCATAAAACATAAGAAGGTGTTGTCAATGTATAAGAAATAGACCCCTGAGATATCTGCTACCGGTAGAAGTAAGTCTGACCAGGGAAGGGTTCATGCTGTATTTGGGTCCCCTAGTTTATTAGTAGCCATTCCTAAGATAGTCATTAAGCAGTGTACTGCTGTCTCTCTCATCTAGGGTCATCCACAGGATTTTCCCCTCATAGCTTTTATTTTAATTTTAATTTTTTAAAAGTCTCTTATGAATCCTGGTAATGATGATATCTCTTTTGTACACTCCCTTGTATTTCAGACACTGGAGCAGAGTGTGTCTCTGTCCCCTACTCGTCTTTATCACCTTGATTGCTTAATTCTATCTTCTGGGTTTGGCCTGTGCTTTGTGTTTCCTTCCCTAGTCTGGTTGCTGGTTCCTTATTGGGTGAACATGTGCTTTAGCTCTGCTCAGTTTGCTGCTGTGAGGTAATCTGCTAGTATGAGCGGTGCGGAGATTTGTGGTAGTCTAGCTGTTTTAATTGGTTAATAAAGCACCTTGAGCACATTTCAGTTTTGGGTGGGGTTTGCTCTAATGATTTGGAAGCTGCTGGTAATAAGGTGTAAGGAGTGAATAGCTATATAATGAGAGGCTCAATCAAAACTCAAATCCCAATGAAAGTTTGTTTGTCTAGCGCTTTGTGGCGGAGGGAGCATTTATTTGCTGTTCTGGTTGATGTAGTATGAGACCTTAACTGTTCTTTTCTGGATGGGGATTAGGATGAGGGAAGTGATCTAGTTCTGCTCTGTGGTGGACTGTTGCTGTGTACATAAAGCATTTGTTTGTTGGACTGCAAATGTAGGTTGTTATAGGGATTTTGTTTCACTAGGTGTAACTGGCTGTTAAACTAGAGTCTTGGATTTTACTCTCAATCGATTGGATTATACTACTGAACAGCTCTAGCAGTAGTCTTATTGATGGATAGTGTGTCTACCTAGTGACTTTCTCATTCCACAGGTCTCATTGTGTTTTTGTAAACAGTCTTTTGTTCATATCTGTGTTTATGATGAGACCACGTGGGTATGTATAAACTAGGGGGTGTTCAATCTTCATGTGTGCAATACAACATTAATC